GGGGGGGGGGGGGGGGGGGGGGGGGGGGGGGGGGGGGGGGGGGGGGGTCAGTTGCCATGAGGACAGCCGCAGCCGAAACACGCGACAACAAGCACGAGCACAGCAACAAGGACAACGACGACAACAGCAGCAACAGCAACGAAAGCAACAAGCACAACGACAACAACAACAAGCACAACAACAACAACAACAACAACAACAACAACAACAACAACAGCTCAGCGAAACAGCCGATCTTTATCATCCGTCAAAAGGAGGACTCAGCGGATCTGCACCGAAAAAGTGCACAAACAGAACTGTCCGTAGATATGTCAGTCGGCCAAAACAGGAAATAAATATTGAAGCCCGACAGAATGCTGTCAGCGTTGAAATAAGTTGATGAAAAAAAAGAAAATGGTGGACCGTTGCACTCATGTCTAAGTTCAATCCAAATATGTCATGACGTCACAGCGTGTTACCGTCCTCATACAGCCCACGTGGAAACAAAAAACAAATCACACCAGACGGAAAAACTGATTGTCAACCTCCAACCCTCCCACGACACTGCCGTGATTACCTAACGGCGCGCCTTTCAAGCGCCCGGCGGCCGAACCGGCAACGCTCCGGCCGCTCCGCCTCGTCCCCACGTTCCGTTTCGCAACCCCTTCCCCACCCGTGGGCCTCGAAACCGAAGCTCTGGGAGGCCGAGGCGACGACGACGAAGCCCGGATCAACGGGTTACGCTTGCGCAGCGAGGAAGGGGCGGCGGTGGCAGACGATGTCTTCGCCGCCGCCGGCATCCCCTTGCCCCCCGACGGGCGCCGGCCTGCGCCGACTCTAGCCGCCGCCGCCGCGGACACCTTTGCGCGGGGGGGGCTGACGGACAAGCGCTGGCGGCTCCCGCGAGATTTCCCCAGACGCCCCTTCGAGCCCCATCCGCCGCTCTCGCTTGGACGGGAAGAAGCTTCGGAGGTTGACGCTGTCGAACCGCGGCGAGAGCGCGCCATGGCAGACGTGCCGGTGGCGGCGGATCTGTCGTTGCCACGGGGGGGCATTGGGATCGGCACACGTTGGTCATCGTCGGACAAGGGGCATCGTAGACGGTGCTCCATAAGGGAATGTATTTGTCGGGAAGGAACAGGGGTTGCCGGCCCACTTTGGAAGGGAGGGGGTTGCGGGTCCACGACTATGCGCCATCCATCACCATCACCAACACCGACCCCCAGCCTACCACATCCACCCTGCAACACCCATCCCGCACTGTCGGCACTGCTGTGCGGGATACTGGGCCCCCGATACTCATCCGCGGGGGCTCTGCTGGTGTATGATATGGCGGGGCCCCCAGGTTGGCCTACTGCCTACTACATGCTGTTGCTGTGGCACTCGGTGTACCCCGAGAAAGGAATTGCGTTGCAACCTTTCGGCCTCTGATGGAGCTGCTATGCGACAACAAGAAGCACGCACTACATACAAGTAAAGCCCTTCGATTTCTGTGGTATTATCTCAAACGGGTAGAAATAGTCTTCGGTCATTGTACGTACATATTCCAAGCACATATCAATGGTAGTTCCCAAGAGCGGCGTCACGTCTCCCTCTTCCCGAAAGTAACAAACAAACACATATCAACAGGCCACTTTTTGCACAAAGCCCGGCGGCAACGCACCTATACCTTTGCGTCGTCGTCGAAGCCTCCACGCCCGCCCCAACAACACCGGCGGTCTTCCGAGCAGCAGCGGCGGTCGCCCCTCCCGCACCCCACCCGGTGCCCCCCGCGCTCCCACCCGCCCCGCGCCCCGACTTGGACCAATCGACAGACGAAGCCGCGCTGCTCTTAGAGCATCGCCTGTCGGCCGGGCCGGCATCCTGGTGGAACCACGCCGCCAATACTCTCGCCTTCTCCTTGAACGCCTCCGTCTCTAGCAGCAGCTCCCCGATCGGGAGCGGGGTGTTCGTGCCACCGCCGCCACCGTCGGCCAGGCCGGAGTTTAATAGAATCGGCCTCCAGAGACGCTGCAAGCACGTTCATGATTGCGGTCGAGTAAACATAGGGTAGTCGTTCTTTGCTGCGGTCGAAAAGTCGAGCACACGGGAGCGGCAGACCGTGGAAGTTGAGCCACTAATATTCTTCTTTCTGTATTTTGGTCGGGGCTACAATGCAAACTGCGCAACCGCCCAATGGGCATAGGAAGAATTTGGTTCCTGCCCCTCCCCCCCCCCTCTATCTCACCTCCACTTCCAGGTACTTCTCGGTGAGTTCCTCTGCTGTCGGCACAACAACAACAACAACAACCTCCTCCTCCTTCCCGCTATCCCCCGCTCCTTCTTCGATCCCGCTCTGCCCCGCCGCGCCACCGTGCTCCGCCACTGTCGGACGTGAAATAACCATCACCGGCTCGCCTGCTGCCGCCGAAAAGATGAGACTTTCCTCCTCGGAATCGCATCCCACCTCTTCCTCCTCCTCTCCCCGCTGTCCGTCCCCTCCCTCCCCGCCGCTGCCCCCATCCTCCCTTCTTTCCCCTTGTCTGTCCCAGTCACCGCCTACTTCCCTGCTGCCTACTACCTCACGGTACCGGACGCCACTCTCCTCTCCCGCGCCATCAACACCGCCGCTTTCCCGGACCAAAACTTCACCCACAGCGTAACCCTCGGTCATCTCATCATCGTTTTCCACCGGTTCGGGATCTACGACATCCTCACCGTCGTCGCTTTCCAACGCCGACAAGCCCGCCTCGGCACGCCCCCCGTACGCAACGACACCCCCGCTACTGTCCGCCGAAATAACGCCGCGATCGCTAGGCGCCGTCGACCCTGATGCTACCGCCGCCGCGGCCGCCGCGGCCGCCGTAATTCCATCGCCGCTCTCTCCCTCGGCGTCCGAACCTGGCCCTGTTGACACGGCTCCTGCACTCCCGGGGCTCTCCCTTACAGATGGAGTTGGACCAACGACAGCAGGGAGGGAATTGACAACCATCTCCTCGCGGACGATTCCCTCTTGCTGCCCCCGCGCCGCACTCCCTTGCGCATCAGCGGCGCCCTCACACCCACGCCCGTCGCCATCACCCCCTTCCTGGTCCAACGGACCGCCTTCCTCCGCCTGCAAACCCGCCGCGCCACCCGCCGGCTCGCCCATCTCCTCACCGCCTCCGACCTCACCCGGCGGGTGCAGAACACCACCGCCATCCTCCGGTGGCCAAACGGCCGCCACGCCGGATGGCAGGGTCCCCGCATAATCATCACCACCGGAGGCGGGGACATCGTCTTCTTCCGCTGGGGGGGCCGCAACCGCTACCAAGCTTGGACCGGGGCCATCACCAGGTGTCGTCCCCCTACCCTCTCGAGCTGCTCCGCTTTGGTCCGCCACCGCGCCACCGCTTTCAGTCGACGGCGAGGCGCCGCCGCTCCTTCCCTCGCCCTCTTGCCCACCGGTTCCCGCGTCCCAGCTTGCGCCTACCACAATGGGCGACGTGTCTGCATCTTGGGCGACGGCACTGGCACTTCCCTGCGACCCATCAACAGCAGAATAGCCATCAGCCACCGCCTGGGCAACCTCTCCGCCGACTTCTGGCATTTCTGACTGGACTGTAGTAGCAGCGGCGGGCGGTACTTCGGAGGAGGGCCTCGAGGCAGAAAGTTTGTGCTTTATGCGCGCCTTTAGCTGGCATTTTCGCCCCCCTGTGGGAATGCCCAGCTGCGAGTGGGGAGGGTGCGGGGTGGCAGGGGCGGCGGGGCGAGAACCATACTCAAGCAGCAGTGGATTCCGTGCTGACAACAACGGCAACAACGACGACAACAACAACAATAACAGCAGCAGCAGCAGCAAAAATAACAACAACAACGACAACAACAACGACAACAACAACGACAACGACAACAACAACAACAACATCGCCACCACAAACAGAAGCAGCAGCAGCAGCACAAAGCACACCATCACACTATCATAAAGACACACGGGAAAGAGATACCCAGAAAACCTAAAGGGGCACAACCATGAACCACGCTGCTGCCTGCGCTCTTCCGTACCATCCTCTCCACTTTGTCAAGTAGTGGAGGCACCACAGCCGGTCAGGCATCGTCATCATGCCTGCTTTGCAAGATGAGACTGCCGTTCCCCACCTTGGTTAGCCACCGATGTTTCCGTCCTTGGCCGGTAGCGACACCTCTAACCCTAACAACGCACTAAACAACACGCACCTGCATGGCTGTCGCCTTGGCAGGGAAACAACCACATCACCACAAACCAACCTCCATTGCCTTCGCCTTGACAGCGAACTAAAACACCACCACACACAAACCTCCATGGCTTTCGCCCTGATAACGAACCAACCACACAAACCTCCGTGGCCTTCGCCTTGAGATCCTTGACGTTCATGCTCTCGACGGCCTCCTCCTCCTCCTCCTCCTGGCACGCCTCTTCCCCGAGGTGTAAGCCTAACCCTTGCTCATCGTCTACGATTGGACTACCGCCAATCTCGTCATGCTGTTGGAGAACGCCGCCCCTCGGAGAGCAGCTCCTGCCGCCTCCAAACAGAGCTTGCCGCCAAGACTCGTTCGATGACGCCTGGCTCTCGGTTGGAGACCCTCGCGGGATGTTGTCCATGAGAGTGGGACGTCTGAGAACGGCGGACTGAGTATTTTTTTCGCGCGGCCGCCGAGGGGCGGTTTGTACATCCGTTCGCCGAAGAACGAAGCAAAAAGGTTGGGAAGCGGCCGAGAGAGGAAGAGAGAGAGAGATAGCGAGGGCTTATGAAAAAACAAAGAAAAAAGGAGAAATAACCCAGCAAACAATCATCTACAGCAGCCTGCCTTTGTCGTGAATGAATCACCGTAGTTTGGCCCAATCTGGGTTCTTGGGGGCGAACAGCAACACCATCGCAGATGACAAAACAAGAAAGAAAATCACTACAATACATAACGTAGCATATACCATGGCACCTTCTTGTTCTTCCCCCTCCTCTCCTGCACGTATCCCCGTCGCTCCCCCCTCTGCCTCGCATGCGCGTCTCCGGGGTCTCCAGAACCGCTGGCGGTACCACGCGTCGTCGATCCCGGACCAATGGAGTCATCACTGTCGTCTTGGTGCCCCCCGAAAAAAAAAAAATGTCGTCGGGAGGGTGAAGGAANGGGGGGGGGGGGGGGGGGGGGGGGGGGGGGGGGGGGGGGGGGGGGGGGGGGGGGGGGGGGGGGGGGGGGGGGGGGGGGTCGGTACTCTAGTGTTTTGCATGCCGTAGCAGTTAGACCATTGACCACGCGTCCTCGAGGGACCGAGCGCTGGTCCCACAGGACCGATCACCGATAGCCAATCGTCCCTTCCTACTTTTGCCAAAGGCGGGTCCTATTTTGCCGGAGGTGGCTTCTTTTGCCGCTCGGTCCGTCAAATGAAAGGGACGAAACACCGCATCCAACCACTGCTCATGTCGATGTCCGTCTCTCTGTCTGAGAGACAAGAGCCGAAGCCTTTGCCCCTGAGCCTACCCCCGAGCAGACCTCATACAGCAGCAACCCCGCTCAAACTTGACCCTTTCCTTTGCCTTTCGAGTTCCGTAGCCCTCATAAACCCTAGTAAGTTTCATGATCGTTTGGTCTCTCGTCCACACCAAAAATAACCTCTCTCTCTCCCTCACAGTACCGACCGGAAAAAATCTCGTCCATCGTCCTTACCAAGCCCTTGCCTACCGTCAAGAAACGGGGTACCTGCTACTGCTGTAGGTAGATTCAACGTCAGCTATAGGTCTGCTGTATTGCAACTGATGGTTACCGTCGCATTTTTCCGTGGTACGTTGTGCTTGGAAGTAACGTCATCATCGAATCATTGCACGTGTCTGAGCATAGCACCACGAGTAGAAATAGGAATATCCTACACAGCAGCAGTAGCGACTGCGGGAATGTACAAGAGGGTCGAGACAAGCCAACAACACCCCCCGCTCAAACCCGGTGTTCTCTTCAAACCGTAAACCGTACGTTCGAAATTGTACATGTATTTCTCACGCAAAGCCGGGAAAATCGACGTTTATCCCCCCTTGACTACATTTCGTCCTCTTGAAGACGTGTGGCCAATGGTCTAACAACTAGGGCAAGTCCCGCCCTCCGCGGGGTCAATGGTTTGAAGACGACCACGGCATGCGATCACATGAGCACGCCCCCACCCACCTGGAAGCTGCATCGTCGCTGAACGTTGTGGCCGTCGTTGTGAACCCTTGGGGCGCGCGATCTACTCACTCCTAGGCGTTCATTCTCAGACCGTACTGCTGGTCAGCCGCTACTGAACCCGTTTACCTTCGCTGTCGAGATCGCTGCCCTCTTCCTCATCGGCTACCTTGTCCGCCATGGCGAGGACTCTTGATGCCGGAGACAGGCTGGAAGACTCCTCCGACGACACTGCGGCGGAACTTCCAGCCTTGCCCAGAGGGGGGATTCGCGAAGACGGATGCGGAGGAGGGGGGGGGGGGGGGGGGGG